GTTTGAATGTGTATGCATCATATTGGAATACTTAATCAAACTATTTCACAACGGCAATACCATCAAGCGTGATGGTTTAATAGATGATAGAGGCAATAGAATTGTATTGAAAATGAATTGGATGTTCCTCATCATCTCATTAAGTGCCACTTTAATCAAGAAATTCGGCAAACGCCCATCTGGCTATGAGCTCATAAGGTGTAATGGCCCGGTTTGTGTTGGGAGTACGTGTGTGTGTGTGTGTGTGTGTGTGTGTGTGTGTGTGTGTGTGTGTGTGTGTGTGTGTGTGTGTATGTGTGTGTGTGTGTGTGTGTGTGTGTGTGTGTGTGTGTGTGTGTGTGTGTGTGTGGTGTGTTAGGCTGCTAGTATGCATTTCAGATTTTGTTTTTTGGGGATTCTGCATGAATTTGTGACTGAGTGTGTGTGTGTGTCACTGTGTGGCTGTGATCGGTGTGACGAAGCACAGTGACAGCGCTCTGGCCATCTGGAGAGACATGACAGTGTGAATCACCAGAGAGGAGGATGGAGGCAGAAAGGGGGGAGGAGAGAAGGAGAAGGAGAAGGTGTGAGGGAGAGATAGAGAGAGAGATGAGGATGATACACCAGCCGGCAGGTGAAATAAGGGAGCTGATAATGACGGAGAAATGTCATCCTGTAAAAGCTGCACAGACACACATCCTTTCTCTCAGTGGCCCTTTTTTTAGCTAATGACCTGCTTGTCAACACTTTAATCATCCTAGTGAATAGGGGGTGGCAGATCAAACACACACAAGCTTACTGTACTTACACGCTGTTAGTTATTGAAATAGGAGCCTGCTTGATGCCTGATAAGAAAATGAGAGTTTTAAATAGATAATTTACTAAAGAAAGGAGATCACCAAGCACTCAAAAGGCGCAGAAACATAGGGCTTGGATTATCGCTCAGCTGGTGCAAGCTTATCACCCCTCTACTCCAACACTCGTCTCCCCCCTCTGCCTCTCGTTTCCTCTCACAGTGCATTCAGTCCTGCTGTGTATCCCTCCCAGTGCCACCTCTTCATGATTTCCATCTTTATCTTGACCAATACTCTTCTTACTTCCCACTCCAAACCATTTTTATCCTCTTTGGCTCAAGCAGGAAACCTGGCAGTTAACTTATACTCATTTGCATTCTCAGACATTTCTCAGTTTTGAGTAAATAGATAATGTCATCTGTTGTTCAGCTCTAATTCCTCCCTTTATTGCTCAACAGTGAATGTAGAGAGCAGATGGGATGCAACAGAGCGTGCAGGTAGTGGAGGATTTGAGGTTGAGAATAGTAAGCAGACAGGTGGGAGATGAATGAGAAACAAAGGGAATCGAGATGCCCAAATATTCACGATCAAACACATATGGGAAGACATATTGGGTTTGCTGACCTGCTGGGAGTCAATACAAAATGTTCAGCCCTGTGATTGGGAATATGTTCCTAACAACCTGAAACATCTCTAGTTTAGTTTCCGCACATCTTAGCCAACAATTATCAAGTAGGCAACACAGGGCGTCCATGTTGATGAACACCAAGGCTAATTCCTTGCATGTGAAGTTTCGGATACAACATGGGGCTTGGAATCAACATGAATGTGCAGGATGCTGAGCATGTCCAGCCAAGATGAGACATGTAACTGTGATAAACTGCATGCTAAGGGTTGAACTACAGATTACTTCATTATCAAGCAATCTGCCAACTCTTTTTCATATGAGCAAATAAAATGTAAGAATCTGGTTTAAATGTCAATTTACTGAAGTTAACAAATTGTTGGTTTAGTCCAACCGACATTTGAAAGATATTTAGTTTGTCATGAAACAAAGATAAACGGCACATCTGCACATTTGAGAACTCTGAACTGGGTCATGTTTGGCATTTTTGACTCCATCAACATGCTAGCACTAATTACTATAAGATAATCTATGAATGTGACAGCGATTTATCTCAACGCTAAATGTAGAACAGTTAACTAATCCAGTGCAAACTCAAGCAGCAAAACCTTGTCATATGATCTTGACAAATAGTGGTCTGAAGTCTGTGTCTAATTGAGGGAAAGAAGCCATGAAAACATTGGAGACATCCCTATTTACAGAGCCAGTTAGCCCTCCGCTGAGGAGCAGCTGGTTCTGGGGCTGTTGGCTGGAGGAGCTGACCGTGGTGCTGAAGAGAACTTCAGCTGAGCTCAAACTCAGCTGTCCATGGTGCTCAAATCCTATATCTTCAGTGAGTTTCTGATGAAAGTTTTCCACTCAATTACTAGTCATTTTATCTGATGTCACATGACCATTCCTGTAGGCTTCTAATAGTGTAAGAGAAAGTCATATTAAACTAAAATATTCTACGCCCATTTCTCATGAAGTATAGGACAATTGTATTAGTTATAGGTTTTTGGCCTTTTTGATGTGCTCGAAGGTCTTAAAATGAATTTCCTTTATAATTTGTGGATCTTGAACGACTTTTTTGTCAAAATGAGTTATTGCCTCGAAAAGCATAAATGCCCCCCCACCCTATTTTTTCAGTAGGAGCTCCATGACGGTGCGAATACAAACAAATGTCATGAAGTAAAAAAGATAAAAATGAAAGGGGCATCGAGGCCTCCAGTCTTCATAACATTACTGCAAGTTGCATCATGAGTACAACGTGGTGCCTTTGAATAAAGGAGAGCTCGTGGAAGAGAGGAGAGGACACCGAAGCGTGATCTTGCGTATAAATGGACATGCTGAGCTACTGTCTCATGCGCCGCTGACGGATGATCTAATACTGGTGGAGCTGGCGTGGAGAGCCGGAACACGCACGAGATAGGCAAGACACACGTCATCTTCAATCTGCCTCCTCCATCCTCCTCTCCTCGTGTGCGATTAGATGAATGGAGGTTGATTACCGTTTATTGAGCGACGGGTCCACTGGGACAGTTGGTTTAAATCCCATGGAGACACTGCTCTCTTCAATATCTATGTTTAAAAAAAATCGTTCGCACATCTCTATCTCTGGGGCCCTCGGGAATGATAAATGGGTTAACAGGAAACGTGCGTAAAGTGAGTTGACAAATGAAGTATTAAAGCATTATTATCTGAGACGTCAAACACAGCCTGGAAATGAGCAGCCTTTCCATTTGGACATCATGTATCTGTTGTACACTGTTGGTCATTAATTGGCAAGGCTTGCTTCGGTTTGATGTAGTACGTGGGTAGAGAAATGCCACGATCCCCGGGTCCTCTCCTCCCTCCCCACTCCGCCTCTCAGCATAGCGTGAGGCTCTGGTGCCGCTCAATGGGAGGATGGGGCTATTGCTGGTGGCTGCAGCTGCACCGAGGGACGCGCCCGACCACCTCCACGCAGGCGTGTGGTATTCAAACATATTTATTGATACCGTTTAAAGTAAATGTTGTTACAGACGGTAAGATAGATGGTCCAACCTTTCCCGTTCTTTGTAAATATGTGCAATAAGTTAGAGTCGCTTTACTGGCTCCAGGGGTAGACGAAAACGGCCAGCGAGTGGGCAATAAAAAAAGCTCCCCGGACGCGAATAAAACAAGAAGCCTCCTACGAATATAGCCGCAATGAGATTTACTCCACATGAAAGTCGAGGGAGATTTGTCAGTATCATTGGGCACTCAGCTGTATGTGTGATAAACCCACAACTCACCATGAAACCATCTGGGTGGTTGATAACACGAGTTTGGTCACAAGTGGGTGACAAGTGGGAGATATTTTGGTGGGAGACTTGAGGGATGACGTTTCTGTATAATAGTAATTATCAAGCTCAAAGCACACTTATGCAGCATGAAACCTGATGTGCTTCAGTTATGTTGAAAAGGTGCTAAGTTTCCACTGACTCGTGGATCATGTGCTGTATAGTGGGCGAACACGGAGCCATGACTCACTGTCAAATTCATATTGTGGCCATGGCAGTATTCTCGTCTTTTGCTAAAAATAGTGCCCATTCTGTGGTGTGGAGCCAAGACAGTGATAAAACGGTTGGATTTATTTGCCAAAGGACCTGCTCTGGGATGGCAAAAATCATTGCGGCTCTCCCCCCGAAATGCATAGGTTCTAAATAACGCCACAGGGCTTTTGTTATTAATTTCCACGGAAAGAATAAAGTAAAATCCATGGATCAGTAGCTGAGCCTCTCCTTTCAGAAACACATTATGTTTTGAAGACGTGAAAGTAAATTAATACTAATGATAATCTGTTGAATGCCCAGCTCCGGTTGCAAGATTTCCATTTGCAATTAATCAAGTGCAGAAAACCCAGTCAGTTAATTAGGCCTGCCCCCACCACACACACACGCGCACCCATACACAGACACCCACACAGAAAGACTGAGGGGGATCAAACTACACACAAAGTGTTTTTTTTAAATCGTTTAAAATTGCTGGGAAACAGAGGGAACAACCAGGAAGAAGAACAACACACACACACACACACACACACACACAACACACACACACACACACACACACACACACACACACACACACACACACACACACACACACACACGAAAGAAGACACACACACCCACATCACAGGTCTCTGAACAGCATAATAATCAGCAGCCTGCTTGACCACATCAACTGATGTCCTCATGCCAGGCCAACGTTCATCTGTACCATTACACAACCTCATGTATAGGAAGCAGCTATCACACATGATGTTTATCAAATCATCAAAGAAGCTCATCCAATCCACCTTTATTTCCTTAAAAACAGTAATGTAATGAAACGCATCAACAGAGTCAGAGGTTCAGTAATTCCAGAGGATCCACTGTCACAAAAATAGCTCCCCAACCATGCAGCTCTCCTCTATTAATAACTTTTGTCTTTAGAACGGAGACATTAGGACAGCAAGGTTGCTCCTAAATGCGCCTTTAGGATATGTGTGTGTGTTGCTGATTTGCATTCAGTCCGGGGATCGTGGAGGGTGGGCGGAGGAGTGGGGTAAGCCTGCTGCATTTTGCATGTGTTCAGCTGTACAGACGGGGACTTACCCTTTACTGAGGCGGCCAGTAGCCCCATATATAGGAACAGCACCCGGCTCCAATGGTGCACCTGCACTCCCGACTTCATTATAGCAAAAATCCGTATTCCGTCCCCTTTCCTGTATGCGCATTCCGGTCTCCTCACAAGTCCCGGTGCTACCTCCCGGTTTGTAGTCATGGCAGGGGCTGTTTCTCGGGTCTGGCAGGCACGATAGTTCTCAGATGGTCAAAAAGAGGAGATTCACTCGGTGTCGGTGCTGAGAAAAATCCCAATGCATGGAGGAGGCTCGGATCTCGCAGCTGGACTGAACCATGTCATGCGGGGACCGAGGGGTTCAGAGTCTCTGTCTGAGAAGATAGATTTCACACCTAAATGGGGAGAAAATGGGGAGAAAAGGAGGGAAGGCAAACCAAGGGGGATACGTGATTCAAGTGGTCACTGATCTACCCAACACGCGTAAAAAAAATCCTGAAAATCCCACGTCCGCTCCACATATGAAATTACCAAGCACAGGTAGAACAAAAAACCAGGAGATCCCTCCTTCAGTTTTCCCCGCAGTACTTATGTGTCCTTCTCTTTATTTTATCTCCATTTAACAACATTTGCGGTGCCGATATTCCACGTTTAAACTCATCATTAGACCGAGATTAAAATGAACGAAACGACGAATGATGGAGAGCCAAAGAGGGTATCCGGATCCAAGAGAAAATCGCCTCGTTTTAGAAGTTCTCCAGCGTTGTAGTGTAGTCAGTGATCTGACTAGAGAGGAATATGCAGTGTGTATTCCCAGTATTGCGGCGCTTGGCCACAGCTTCGTCTCAGGACTGTGCGACGCCAAGAATCAGACTGCAGACCTGCTCGATCTCTGCGCGCCTCTCTCTCTCTCTCCCCCTCTTTCTCACCCTCCCTTTCTCTCTCCATCTCACCCTCCCTCTCTCTCCCACTCTCAGTACCATCTAGAATTAGATATTCCCACGTTTTCAAAAATAATGTTGAGCTCTAATTTGCTCCATTTATTATAAAATAAAAATAAAGGCAACAAAAACATTTCTGCAGAGATACGATAGTTGTGTAATGAAAAAGGTGAGTCACAGCTTCTTCAAACAATGCAATACAAGACTTACAAAAAATATTTATACCAAAAAAAAATATTGCAAGCTCAGGAGGTTAGCAGTCGTATGGCCTGAGGCACAACACTGTCCCTGAGTCTGGTGGTTGCCTGATGCTGCTGCTGATATACTATATTAGATACATTTAAATCTAGCAGATAAAAAACACATTTAATTAAAAAAATCATAATAGTAATAGTTATTATAATAAATGACCTCCACCGTGTTCCAATTTGTTATGGTAAGATTTAGGGGTCCAAAACGAGGCCATTGTCTCCATCCATTAAAAACAATCATGGGGTTGCCCGGCAGTTTAACATAGATGTCCACTTCCTGCTCACTAAACGTGAAATTGATGCTTAACAGGCTGGAACCCTCGACAGTAAATTTGAATGTCATTTCCACTTTTGCTTATGACCGTTATAATTAGTTTTCCACAATGCTCCGTGCATGGAAACAGTCGGGATAATGAAATGCACGTTGGCCTTCAACCCTAAGATGGAGTCATACATAGTCCTCCCCACATTAAATTAAACTTTGCCAACAGTGGGGTGCTCATGTTCCTCCTCGACACATGTCGTTCTGCCACACAGATTCCATTTCTGGATACATTCGTGTGTGTTACTGAATGATTTACGATGGTAAACAATATGAGGGGCCAATGAGTGTGTGTAGGTAAGGTGTGCAGCATTATCGCACACATCCAATACATATCTCAGAATCACTAAAATAGGTTCACTATTAGAGATCATATACTACTAAAACACTGTAAGAGGATTTGTAGAGATAAAGGAATGGACTGATTCATCTCAAATTCTTAGCGGTTGCTATGACGGCATGAAAAGAATGCATCAGAGAATGTTTCCTTTCAAAAAGACGGTTCAAAACAAACAATTGGACGCTTTAAGAAAACAGACAAAGATCATGGACAAGCTCATGTGTGCGAGGACCAGAGAGAAAAATATGCTATCATATCATCCACGCATGTTCGCGAGTGCACTTGGACCTTTTCCGCGCTCCACCTGGATTCATCCCCACGTGCCACATGACAACTTTGATCGTGTCTGTGAAATCATCTGGAAAAGAGCAAAGGAGGAGCTTGACCGGGGTCAAAGTTCACCTGAGACACAGCTGGATAAAACCTTCAAGGCTCGAGACATCACACAGAGTCACCGGTAAGGCTGAGCTGGTCACAGCCTGGGGACCACCAGCACACCCATTATGCCTAACTAGTTACACACACAAATCAACACAAAGCAGTCATATGTCGTTTTCTTTTTTTTTACAATAGATGTGTCTCTATTATCTGCTACATTACCTTTACATGAGTACACAGTGTTTGGTTAAATGATGCACATCCATGTGTATCATATTGTATGTAAAGTGGTAATCTCATATATGTATGTAAGACACAATCTACACAATTGTGGCTGGGCTCATGACCCACTAATGAAAATGTTGCAATATTTATAGCCTATAGTTGCAGTATTAAAAATCATCACTTAAGATTAAATTTCCCTTTTTTGTGTATGAATTGTATGTTGTATGGTGAGTGTGGTTTTATTTGCCAGTGCCAAAGACTAAAAGTAGAATATATTGATTTAGGAAAATGCCAATGGTATACTATCCCATTTAAAGGTGGGGTAGGTAAGTTTGAGAAACCGGCTCGAGATACACTTTTTGTTATATTCCATGGAATGCTCTTAACATCCCGATAGCAATGAATATCTTAAGTGCTTTGACAAAAAATCCATACAAATATTTCATCTGTGGAAGCCGTAGTACTGTAAAAAGCACGACCAATCATTTTAGCCGGCTCGGCTAAAATAACTGGATGGCCTACCTGCCTGTCAGCCTTCCATCTGTGCACAAACTTATCTCGTGCCCTCATTGGTCATGTGCGCGTTCGTGTGTGTTGGAGGAGGGGCTCTGTAAGGAAGTGGCAGATTTTCTCCGGTTGTGTATTTTCAAATTCTACGCACTCGAGCTGGTTTCTCCAAAATTACCTACCCCACCTTTAAGTCCCTTTATCAAGAGTTAATAAGTAGTAAAAGCATTATTATTTTGTATTTCTTCGTAATGCTTAATATATATGCAATTAGGAAGAAGTTCTTCGTAGTAGACGTTTATAAATGTGGGTAATACATGAATATATGCTTACTCAAACAAGCAGAAATGTCTGTGCTAACCAGAGGTGCAAAGTCACAGTGTCATGATTTATTCTCTAGCTATACTTTTAATGTTAAATTGTTAAGAAAAATGTTATATTACATTTTATACTTTTGACCTGTAGTTTGGTTATAAGCCATGCCTACACTGTAATTTTAGAAGACTATACATTAATGCTTGAATTGGATGGGCTTATATAAAATGACCTGATGGTAGTATGGATGATAAGTTAAGGCCTATTTCTAACCCTGATCTCAACATCACAGGGTAGCGCTGCTGTGCGGTCACAGACCCTCTGTATAATGTTAATGTACACCATCTGCTCAGCGGCCGCCCGGAGCTTTCATGTCGTCTCCGTTATCATAAGCATCCCGTGTCCCAACGGACCGTCTGTTACGCATCGCGGCCCGACAGCCCACAGGATGGTGACTAAAGAGTAGCCTCATTAAAAAGTTATGGTTTGAAGCAGGTGACACACCACACAAGGATGGAGCCACGGACCCAATGCTTCCTCCTCTTTGAGGCAACACAACTAAAATTCCAGTCCAATGTGACAACAAAACTATGGATACGCAAACAGTATCACCTGGCTAACCTTTAGGTCATCCAATAAGGTTAGAATATTATGCACTGCCAAAAAAAGCTTCTTGGTAAACAGGTGTATCCTTAACCTTTTCTTCACACCACAGGATCACTATAATTATGAGATTCCAAACTAGGAGTCACCTGAAATTTATACTCCGGAAAATGCTATTTGAGACGTGAAGTTATTTGCCACCGCTACACATTGTAGTGGTTGTGATTTGACTGTGATGGTCTGTTACGTTTTACAGATGTGTTAACCCGCCATACTGTCTTTCTCTCTTCTGGTCTAGGGCTGAGGAGAAACAGGCAGATGATTTGGGTCAGAGCACACGATATGAGGAGGAAAAACATCAAAACTTCACTGCCTTCATCCTCCCTTGCCCTTATCTATTGGGCCGAAATCAGCCCCATATTGCCGAGCCTGCACGGGTAGTGAACCCTGAGATGAAAAAAGAGATACAACGAAATGAGGAAGAGGCAAAGGGGAAAAGAAATGTGGTGAGCATGACGTCTTTGAAAGCCAAAGTTGTTTCCCGTTGTGGTTTACTTGTACTATTACCTCTATTCTATAACAAGCCTGATAATGAAGTCATATACAAATGTTCTGTTGTTTACGATTCTCTGTCATGTCAGACTGATTACACCGGAGATCAACAATGGAGGATGGAACATTTCTTCAAGAAGATGTGCGTCCCACAATGCACCAGCAGAAGAGCAAAACAGAGCTGTGTAACTGAGCCTCAACCTCTGGCGACAAATCCCATCTGCTCTGCCACTGAGGACCACACCCCACAAGAAGAGGAAGAACCTCCACTTCCTTCGAAAGTACCCAGGGAGACATGTGAAAGCGAAGATGAGAAAGATACTAGTAGCAGCTCTGACAGCAGTTCTAGCGATGATGACACCTCTGTAGATCTACCTGGGGTGCGAAGTTGTGGCACTGATAGCAATGATGGTGAGTCAAAGAATGAAAACAATGACAGCAGGGAAGATGAAAAAGAAATCCCACACCAGTTAATGAATCAAGCTCCAACAGCGAGAAGAAATCCCGCTCTTCTAGCACAGAGAAAGACTTTCCTCCACTACATACCATGAAGGCTGGCGTTCTCCCATGTCCCACAACGCCCCCAGCCTCAGGGAAGATGCATAGCCAGTGGGATATTCCCCTTTTATTCCACCCACATGCTATCCCTGCTGCAACTTTGGCCAGAGAAGTGACCACCTATGCACAGGCTCCTGTCCAAGACAAGGCAGAAGCACCTCAGGCCGACACTAAAAAGATGGCACCACCAGAAGCCCCCACTCAACAGGAGGCTTACGACCTACAGGCCGAC